AAAAAAAAAAAAAAAAAAAAAAAGGAACATTCAAAAAATTTCGTCAACCTTTTTCCCCGTTTTTGAACGCAACGGATAATAACAACTGGGCGTGAAAAAAAAAAAAAAAAAAGCAGCTGTGCAGACCCCCCACCTACTTCCTAAAGCGTGGCGATCTGCAGAACGTGCGTGGCCTCGGCACGTTTATCCGTCTTCAGCTGTTGGCATTTTTGGCGGCCCAGATAAAATCCTCCACGCTGATCCGATCGTTCGGTTCTCGTCCTACGGAGAGGGGGCACAACATGATACATGTGCAGTTGACTCTTACGCGAATTATTTATTTTATTCTCACATTATTTTTTCTCGTATTATTTTTCATTTATTCTCATGTTCACGTTTTTGCGAGCCGCTTGGCCCCTCTTCCGCTAACCTGCACATGCGAGGACCCTCCTGACGTGCCGAGCCACTGCGTCTCTGCACAAGTTCGAAACGCACAGAGGAGTGAGCTTCCCCTTGCGACTCAAAACGCATTTTCTAAAAAAGTTTTGCAACTCCACGGAGAGGACGAAGTTGTCCTCATGAACGTTACACCGCTGCAGGCAGCTCTGGACCAGTTTGAGCACATCACTGTCCCTCCAGAGGTGGAACTCTTTCGTGCAGTACACATGTCTTAGACGATGCTGAAGCAGCAAATTAGCATCTACATTAGTAAGGTCCGTTGTTGTTGCAATGATTAAAATTTTCCCACCAGTCCTTCTGTCCAATCCCCATTTGTTCTGGAAGTGAATTTTGTCGAGGTGTTGATAGAAGCACAATTTTACTCTCTGCATGAATTTACTTATTCCATGGGATGAATACCCCTTGCTGTTGTAACATATATTTTCAATCCCCTCAAACAAAATTATGCATGGTCCTACCCTAACTTGTGCATAAACAAAAATATCATTTAAAAATTTTTCCGACTCTCCCATTACCTTGTTGAATAAATTTGAACAGTTTATCACAAGGGAGGTACAGTTGCATTCGTTAATTATTTTTTGCGCCAGGAATGTTTTTCCTGACCCGCTTTTTCCATAAAGCAATATGCCCGTGGGGGGTTCTGCATGACCATTCTTACAGGTCGACATGAAGAAGCGCACCACCTCTTCCCGTACCTTGCTTACAAGTTCCTCCTCTGCTATGACGTTGTCCAATCCATGAGCCTCTCCAATGTGAGGCACTTTCTTCCAGCCACCACGCTTCTCCCCTTTGTATAACTCAATCTCGTGCGTGCGGATAACCGCGTGTGATGACTCGCTATGCAGATTCAACGTCTTGTGGAAGAAGTTGCTCTCAGCCGGTACCCCACCATGGGGGCCATCACCACCCCTGGACTTTTCCAACTGATTGAGCAGTTCGCTTCTTCCCACAAACCCATTGCGCACCACTTCTCCTCCTGGCCTCATCGCATGAACAAATCTCTCTCGACATTCATCTCTGCAGAGCTTCCCCAAGTCCGCTTTGCTAAAGCTGGTAGTAACTTCTGCAACTTGTTGGAGGTCCCCCTTGTAACACTTCACTCCTTTCTGTTTAAACAGGTGGGCCAGGTACTGGCGTCTTTGCGCCTCGCGAAGGAATGGGGGAAGCTCGAAGGTGGGGAATTCAAACGTGGCGCAATTGGATAAGAACTCGCTGAAGGGGTTTACGCCATGAGGACCTGTTGCCCCTCCTACCACTCCTCCTGTGTGTCTCCCCCCCTCAGGACCTAAAACAAATGCATGAACATTTAAATTCAGCTCCTTCCAAAGGTACACATATTTGAGAAGCACCTGAACGATGCAACTTTTTCTAAGGGGGGGCATTTGCATATCGTTGAGTTTGTTCAAATTTTTTATTAACAAGAAGGAGTGACCCCCGTTGAACAGGTTCAGTCCCCTCGTTCGTTTATCCATTTGCTCCTTAGCCACTCGGGGAGAACACTTCCTTGGTCCCTCCCCCCTCCGTGTAAGCCGCTTCCTACGTCGACTGGACTCTACCAAAATGGACACCCGCCTGAGCAACTGCTTTTGCGAAACGAATTGTTTTACGAGAGCTATTCGGGTAACGGCTAGCAAAATATACTCGAGGTTTTCATTGCAAGGGTCTATGTCTTGGAGGCACCCCCTCCGCTGCGTCAGTCCTCTCACTGCTTCTTCCTTTTGTATAATTTGGCTCAAATTGGGGTACATTATTTTGTTCACGTATGGCCTGCGTTTTCGTGCACCACTACGCGCGCTGCTCTTGCCGCTGCTCTCCACACCTGAGTCTGCCCAGTTAAGGGTCCCCATCGAATGGACTGCATACCTGCAGTCACTCACGATTGGGCATCGCCCACACTGATCAATATCAACAACGTAAACACGATCACTGGCGTAAGTAAAAGGAAAGGACAGAAACAGGTCTGCTAAAAACTTTTCCTTCTCGCTCCCTTTTTTTCCAAGGAAAAAATACAAATTAGTGTTCATATGATTTGTAACTTTTTTTTTGAAGAACAAGTTCCACAACTCTACATCCAATATATGAAAATTTTTTATTGTGAGAAAATTTATTAGCTGTTTCGCCAGACGCTTGTACACAGGGCCGCTCTTTCGTAGGAACCTCCGTAGCCATACGTTTGACACACGTCGGTAGTACTTGGCCCTGGCGACGGCGTTGAACAGGTACTCCTCCGCTAGGCCCTCTTTAACCGCTCTACCCCCTTTAGCCGCCTTAACGCGACCGTCATGGTTGCCCTTCCCCTGGGCTGCCCCCAGTTCCGCTGGACAACCGCCGTCTACAAACACTCTTGGCTTAAACCTGCGTCTGCTCCTTCTCTCCAAGCATTTTGCCTCCGCCATGTGCATTTCATATTTGCGAAAACGTTTGTTCACAATGTGGAACTCTCCTCCTATGGTGTTAGCCCTCATGGAAGAAGCATCTCCCGAGTCTTCATCCCTCCACTCACATATTCCTCTTCGCTTCTCGGCGCGTTCATCTCTCCGTAGGTACTCCACCACATTCAGGTGACACTCAGCAGAGGACAAGTTTTTTACCCATTTGTACTTTATAGCTTTTTTCAAAACAGTCCTTTCGTACTCATTTGATGAAGCTCCCCTCGAACTTCCCTCCGCGTCCCATTCTCTTCGCAGGTACGAGAAGGTCCTATTGCTGTTGCACTGAACACATAGGTTTTCTAACGGCGGCTTGTCGTTTGGAGAGTTCCTCATTTGTATCACTCTATGTGTTAATTAACTTCACTGACGTCGTTAGTGGTGAGCCGGACGTGGGGGCCGAGGCAGTTTTTTTTTTTCTTTCCTTCCTTATAAAAACACATGCCCACAAGTGTAAAATGGATCAATTTGGCCAAAAACAAAACCCACGCACAAAAAAGGGGGGTTTATAGCGTCAGCTAAAAAAAAAGAAGAAGAAGAAGAAACCTATTGCAAGCTGCATACAATTCACACCTTCCCCCTGCGTTTTGTTCCACCAACAAGGATCATTCCGTGTATGTGCACCGGAAGGGCCGAACTTTCATACGCGCCTGCTTCCTTTTTTTTTTTTTTTTTTGCGGGGTTGAAAAAAGGAAGAGAGAAAAAATCACCTGACCAAGGGAAAAAAACTTTCTTACAACTGTACGGTCAACTTTGTGCAGAAAAAAAAAAAAAAAAAAAAAAATTAATGAGTGACCGAAGCGCATTTGCATGAATGGGCATATAACGATATAACCTACGGAGGGGAAAGGCCCAGGAGATAAGCAAACAAAACACTATATATCAAGTGAACAAAAAAAAAGAAGCGAATTGAAGCGACGCTAAACGAAACCAACGCGATGAAGTAAGGAGAGAGGTATCCCCCCGAGTGAAATGAAAAAATGCAAAGAAGGTTGTTGTGCATGGGGAAAGGTTTAAACACCACTGTGACATGACGCGTTACACTCAAATGGCGAAATAGGAACACTAGGAAGTGGAGGGAGGAGGAAAAAAAAAAAAGAAAAAAAGGTCCACGAACAAGACGAAGCTACAGTTCAAATCAACACTGACCCATAAACCTGCGAGTGCCCCTTGTTGTGTCCACACCACTCACAACCGTAGCCAATCATGAGAAAAAAAAAAAAGACGTTGCGCCGAAATGTTAGGCAGATTGAAGACCACCTCAAAAAAATTGAACAGGAATGTAGTCAGCTAAGCAAACACATTAGGAAAGTTGAAGAGGAGAGGAAGGAATTTGTAATAACCACTGCTTTATTAAAAAAGTACCACTCTTATGTGGACAGTAGTTTGATGAATGGCGTCTCCATTTTTTCCTCTAGCAGTGTCTTTGTGAAGAGTTGTGGGATTCTTTTTTCATGGAAGACAATTTTGGAGGACCCCGACAATGACACTGAGGACGCATGTTGCAGTGGCTATGCGGAGAGGCGTCATTCGGACTACGCCATGGGAGGGTCTCATATGATCGTGGAGGGAGCACTTCACAGGAGGAACAAACTTCTTTGGAGGGAAGCGGCCTGGGGTTCCTCCCCCCCAGAGGTCGGCTACGCTGATAGTTGTAGTTCCTCATTTGGCCATAACCGAGTGTCCAGGAAGAAGGTGAAATGCGGGGCGGCATCTTTTCCCCCTGACGGCACGAGTTGGAGCGACCGTTCGGGTGGCGCGCATGGTTGCATCAGCGGTCACGACAGCGGTCGGAGCAGCGGTCAGAGTAGTGCTGACAACAGTGGTGAGTTGTGGCGCGACTGGGGAAACGTGGGAAGGAAGGAAAAAAGTTTGAAAAAAAAAAACTCCGCAGTGAGGCCAAACAGATCGTACTACTCTGGTGAGCAGGGCAACACCCACAAACACAGACTCCTCGACTCTTTTGAAGAGCGCAAAAAAGGAGGAAGCAAAGAGGAGGACACTGTGCAACACGACAAGCGTGATGAGAGGAACGTGCCTAACCAGTTGAGTCACTTTACTCATGCACTTGGAAATGTAGGTAAAGGAAAATGTGGGAAATTTTCTGCGTCCCCCTTGCACCCAGGGGAGGGTGATCAGCGCATGCCCCGTCTCGGTTCACACAGCGAAAAGGATAGCCATGGCGATGGCGAAAACGATGAGGACGCAAGACAACACTACAAAAGTGATGCCCACTCCTACGTGGATATGATCAGGACGGGAAAAGTCTTCTCCTTGTTTATGAACAGAACTCAGAACAAACACAGCAACCCCTTTTACCATTTTGTGCACCGTGTAAGGAAAATTCTCTTCCTCAGCGAAAAGGAGGGAGATCAAAACGGAAGGTGCGCAAGTGATAAAGAGAAAAACGAACTCATGAGTTCGTTAAAATTTACATGCTTAGTGAAGTCCAAAAAATTTGTAATGTACGCATGTGTGTGTCCACACTGCGAAAAAAAATTTTACCTTTTGCTGAAGAAGAGCGCAAGGAAGAAAATCATGCCCAGGGTTTTATCCCCCTCCCAATTTGCCTCAATAATTACCCTCTTGAGAGGAGAGCAGTGGAGCGCTGGAGGAGAAGGGGGGATGGCCACGTCCACGGGGGGAAAGGAGGACATCCCCCACCTGGACAATCAATCGGTTGAATATATTTGCGACTCCGTGATGGCCCCCCACGAAAGTGGCGAGAACAGCGGCGAGCACTTTTGCAACTGCTATGTGGGGATGGACGACGGAGGAGGCGAAGGCCTGTTTGGGGACGCCAACGTGTTGGCCTATCTGTGAGAGAGAGGAAAAGGTGTAGACAGGAGTAAAAGGCCAGTGCCCTGTTTGCCAAATTTGTGCTAGCCACGCTGCTAGCTACGATGGCCGCTTATTGTGTAAGCCCTTGACAAGCCCTTAAAAAAAAAAAAAAAACAAGCAGTTTTTACCCCAATGTTACCTACCACGCATTTTTTTTTTTTTTTTTTTTTTTTTTTTTTTTTTTTTTTGTTACAATTTGTATTTACTGATCGTGTAGCATACCGATTTGCTCATTTTTTTTTTTTTTTTTGTGTATGTGTGTATGTACATATGTTGTTGCTACCCCCTCGTTAGACAGGACAGACTGATCTGCAATGCAGCCAAAAATTTCTCAATGCGCCCTGCACGTTTGTCTAAATTTCCTCCCCCGTTACTCATTTGGCCCAGTGGGGACGATCTCATTGAAGGCACTTTGCACTTTTTCGCAACATATGGTCGATTAAGCAATTTGTGTCTTGTGGAAAAAAAGAAAAAGTCTGTGCCTCTCTTCAGTAGAACGTTACGCGGGTATCTTTCACCATGACCATAAAGGATAGGTCATTTTTTTTTTTTATTGACTTGGTGACAACTGGCCCCTTTTTTATCGCTACGATTAGCAGCTCATAAAACCATTTTTTTTTTTTTTTGTCTAACGTCCCTCCGTGGCAACCCTGCCAGGGCTCACTTACAGTTGCTTCTTTTTTTTTTTTTCCGGACAAAACTGGTTGAAGAGTGGAGCAAGTTGCGTGTTCTCCCGTGTCCTGCCCTCCTCCCCCGCCCACAAAAAAAACACACAACGAAACGAAACGCAGCACGTTCCGTTCAACATGTGCGCTCCCAATGGAAACGTCCAAGCTGAAGCTCTTTCTCTTCTCCCTACTCGTGTGGTAACTCATGCAGGGGGAGAGTCGCATGGGCGCATTTCCCGTGTGACACTCTCTCCGGCCAGCCTATCACGAATAAAGCTTGCTGTGCACACTCGTGTAGATGAGAGAGGAGAGATGAGAAAGAGGGTCGATAACAATTCTCTTCATAAAGAGTGGCGCCCTCCTACTACGGGGAAAGCACCATGTTGTGGTGTCTCACTCACACAGACCATTTGAGCTGACCACATTTGCCCCCTCATCATGCATTCCCCCCCCCCCGTGCAGTCTCTTCGTGAAGCTCACCTTCTACAAACGAGTTCGATACACCTTTTACCAAAACTATGTAGAGCAAAAGCTGTCCCTGTACTCGGAGGTACACAAACCCCTCTGTGGATCCGCTTGACCTGCTGCTTCCAGGCGAAGCACCACTCTGTGTTACAATATGCAAACAAACGGATGGTGCCTCTTCACTTTTTCCACCTCCACAGGAATCCTTTTACTTCTCCTTCTATGACGACATTGTGAACGCGGAGACCTACCTGGAGGGCATCAAGCTGCTCATGTACCTTTGCACAATTGGGGAGACGCCTCCTCCCCCCTCCCGTCTAGTGTGTTTTTCTCCCTGTTCACACATCACTACCTCAGCGGTCATCACGCACTGTACTCACCCCTCTCGCCGCCTTCCCCTTTAAGACACGATGACAGAAGCGAGTACCCCAACACGATTAATGCCATTCGGCGCTTCAACATATACCCCGGTGGGTAGAAAAATTCGTGCAGGGCCTCCCCCACTTATATGGAAGTGGTTCCTTTTTATACACTCTCTCTCTGTCTCTACTATCCTCTCACCATGCACACAAATGAAAGCTTCCCTCATGCAGACCACGACTCCCCCTCCCCTTTTATCTACCCTCAGAAATTATCCTTGGAACCGTCTGGAGGGCGTTTAATTTGAAGGAGAGGTTTTTAACTCCTTTCAATTTTTACGTCTATGCAGGTATGTCCTCGAGGAGGATAAATAAGAGGCAACATGATGTTCCTCATTTCGTTCCCGTCGTATGTGAAACGAATGTAGTTGCTTCATCGCACATCATCGTGGCGTGGCGTAGCGTAAATCATAACTGTTCTGTTCTGTTTTTTTTTTTTTTTTTTTTTTTCCTTTCAGTTTTGCTTTCCCAGGCTGCCAGCGTCAGCACCTTATTCTTTTTCGCCGTTTATTTGGGTAAAAAGGGGGGACTCTCCCCCCAAAGAAGTAACTTTTCCTTTTGTGCTCCTCCTGATCAGCTGCTGCTGCTACTGCTACTGCTGCTCCACCACTGCTCTGCCCCCTTTTGTCCATTCCCCTTCTCAGGACGCTCCTACATTTCGGGGGTCATTTTTTTGATGCTGTTTTTTTCCTGCTACAGGGAAAAGTTCATCATGCGATTGTCAGGTGGGTTTTTAAAGTGCCCCTCCTCTGTCCTCCTGCACAAAGGGGAGGTAGCGGTGCGGTGCCGTGCTATGCCCTGCCGTTGCGTTAGACAGTGCCCCTCTGTTCTCTCCGCTTCTACCATTGTAGGCGCGCCAACCTAATGCTTTTCCTCCCGCCTTCATCCACTCCTCTGTAGCGTTTCCACTGAGAGAAAACTTCTCCTTAGTCTACATGTGGTGCAACATCTTACTCATTTACACGATTTTGCGCGAGAGCAAGGTGACAAAAAAAAAAAAAAAAAAAAAAAAAAAAAAAAAAAAAAAAAAAAAAAAAAAAAAAGAAACAAACAAACAAAAAAAAAAAAAATCGCGGACCGAAATAGAAATAGGCGGGTTTACCCCACCTTATGGCTGTCTCTACGTACCATACGGAGATAATCCTAATTGACTTCTTTCCCTCCATTGATGCCATCACCGCTTTTACATCGAACCCCCCCCCATACACACACCTACGCGCAGAAGAGACGTACCGCCTACCTCGTCTGCCTCTTCCTGTCGTCGTTCCTTTTTTTCATCACGTGGCAATTTTCCGTTTTCGTGACGCTGACCCATGTGGTGGCTCTGTTCGGACTAGACCTACTAGGATTTGATATTCAGAAGGAGTTACACAGCATCCTTGTCACATTATCCTGCTCCTACACATGTTCCCTCCTGGTGACCTTCTTCCCTCGTTATTTGATGTGCACCTACCTGCCATTCGTATTGGCTTCGCTCATTATCACGAATGCGATTTACCCACGGCGAGGTGGCAATGCCCATGATGGAAGACGTGAACCCGTTTCTAACCTAAAGGATGTTGCCCCGTGTCAGATCGACCCCTCTTGCACATCTCCCCTGCAGTTCTTCCCCCACTTACGAACCAAAGTAGGGTTCATTCTACAGAAGGGGTTCACATCTATAATGATTTTCCTGCTTCTTCGACTCACCATGGTTGGAATGGAGAAGGATGACTCACATGTTATGTCTCTTTTAAAAGTGCGTCTGCATCTAAGTAGCCACAACTTCGATAGCATGATCTATAGTTTGGGTTCAGAATTCAATCCTTTTACTAAATATATGTTTAACATGATAAAGGAGACTTCGCTGTACGATTACTTCATATTTTTTAATTTGATTCTGCTACTCTACGTGGTGAACTATGTTATACATATTTGGCGAGCTAGACGAGGGAGGAATGCCAAAGGGGGGCGAAGCGATAAAAGGGAGAAAAAAGATGAACAAGGAGGGAGCGATAAATTGGCTAGCTACGACAAAGGGGTAGATGTCCGTTTCGAAATTTTCCATGCACAGTTTCTTTACCTCATCATCCAATTCATATTTTTCGCCTTCCTCATGTTGATAATTTCTCGCTTGCGTGTCCTGGCCCTACCCCTCATGTGTTTGCTTAGTAGTCTAGTGGGGTCTCCACACTTGCTTGGGGACATCTACAGAGTCACAAGGGAAAATTTGTTCCACCTCGGGTATGGCAGACGCGTATTCTGCGCGCTGATCATGGTGGTCACCCCACGCATGCCCGATGCAGCGCCTATCCTGTCGGCGGATGAGCGATACACGGATGAGCGGCACACGCATGAGCGACACACCGTTTCCCCCCCCCCCGCAGGGCCAGCAAGAAGAACCTATCCCGTCTGGTCATCCAGGCGATCTGCCTCCTCGAGTGCGCGTACCCATTTGCAAAATACTTCCCGACCTACGAATACGTCAA